GATGTTTACCTATGAGATTTGTACACTTTGGCTTGGTGGGGTGAGAATAAATAGGTAGAAATTAGAATGAAAGTGATTAAGTCACTTAGTACTACGGTCTAGTTGTGTTATTATTCACTTGTAAGTGAGAGCCTTATTAAGTTCGACACTCGTCAAAGGCGAATATGAACCACATTATTGCTAGCCCATTGTGAGGCTTAGCCCACCCCACCCCCTTAATATAGATATCGTTTGTTAAAGAAAAAGAATGAAAGTAAGTAATATGTTTTGATACAAGTGACAGTTTATACTACATTCGTCTAAATTAATGAGAAATGAGATCCAAATTAGGGTGTAGTCTATAAACTGCAAAAGAGAGAACATATTGTTCTAACTAACTTGACTCATATATGTACGTTGTTGTGAAAATAAGTAATATGTTGGCAAAAAAGAATGTGGATAAAGGTAGGGTGTGCAATTTTTAAAATTTTATAAATTACAAGATAGAAGTATGATTGGAGCATCTCCAATAGTTTTTCTTAGCCCTTAATTTTGTTGTCATAAACTTAATACATGTCAATCAATAATATAAACTATAGAAAAGCCACACAAAAAATAAGTATAAAAAAAAATTAATCTCTTCTTAAAATGCTCTTAGGAAAAAGTTGAGCGAGCAACAAGGAATTAAGCAGATATTAAATAAACAATATTTTTTGGGGTCTTTGGTTATCTCTTATATATAAAGCCAGAGCCTCGATTTGGGGTCATGGCTTCGACAAAAATAATTGGACCAAATTGTCCCTCAGCCAAAAAAATTCAAAACCTGACCAAAATAATATATCAAATCATGTAAGGGTAAGTTGGTAATCATAAAATAAAATATAAATATAAATGGGGAGAGAGAAAAGAAAAAAAAATGAAAGAGAAGAGAGAAAAAAAATAAACAAATGACAAAGTTGATGGTGCCCAAGTGATGGGGAAGAAAAATATAATAAAAAAATAAGAAAAATCATGAATGTTGTGTTCAAAACATCTTAAGAGCCGCGTAGCGCTGGTGATAAAAAAAAAAGAAAATAATAAAATAAAAAAATATTGAAGCAATTCAAGCATATAAATACATTTAAAATGTCTATGTCGTAGCGCGCTATGATTCAAAAAATATTTTTTGCATGCGGTTGTTTATTAAATATTATTTCTCAATTTTTAAACACTTAAGAGGTGCGTAGTGCCAGTTATAAAAAAGTCTTTCGCACGCACATAATAATGTGATTCAATTAGTTGTCAAATTATCATTTTTTTAACAAACGATGTTATCTACACTAAGTCCAAAGGAGTGGGTTTAGCCTCACAATAGGCTAGCAATCAGTTATTTATTAAATATTATTTTTTCTAATCTTAATGTAAATTCAATAAAATGTAGATGGAAATTGAAATACCACTTTTATTAATATGGATTCAGATGCTTTGATTAATTAAAATACCACTTTTATTAAAGGGTAAATTACATAGTACCCCATCAGGTTTGATGTCTATTACAATCTCATATAACATCTTTAAAACATTTCAATTTCATGCATTTACTTATCATTTTATTTCAATTTCATGCATCTGTTAGAAAATCCGTTAAGTAAATCATTAAGTGATGACGTGACAAATATGAGGTGCTGATGTGGCTGCCAACCTTGCATCAAGTAAATAAAATAAAATAAAAAGGATTAGTTATTTAAAACCATTTTTTAATAATTAAAAACTTTAAAAATGAAAAAGAGGATATGGGGTGAAGGATTTTAGCATTTTTCGTCCCCAATACCACCACCACAACCCGACGGAAAAAAAGGTCATCGACGTCGCACCTGTCTGTTAACCACGCTTCCAATTACCACCACAACAACCCAAGATCTCACAACTCGTGTTGCAGCTTGGTCGATTACGTCACTTCGAGTTCGATCTCGACACGACTTAGCAGATCGAGAGACTGATTTGGCGACGGGGCACCACCCATTTCAGCCCTAACTTCTTGATTTCGTCCGACTAGGTGGATGTGGACAACCCTCGTGCCTCGATGTTCCCGTGCTGAAGCTTTGTGTGGTTTGTGACCGACGAGGTCACGATAGACTTGCCAAAGACGGTGATTGACGGCGGAAATCCATAGCGGTGTAAGAAGCTGCATAAGTTGTCGCGACGGCATCGTCTGCGACCTAAGAAGCCGATGAGGCAGGAGAAAAGATGGGAAATGATGCGTAGCCGACAGAGACAACTGCGGCATCGAGAACGGCGGAGCTGGTGAGGTTGCTGTTGATGGACTTGTTGGAGACAGACTACTAGATGAGGATGGAGGTGGCAACGGGAGATTCTTGTTGCATTCAAGCACAGAGCATATGAGGATGGAGTATAGGAGGAGATGAGGTTATTGGGATAGGTGAATGCGGCTGAGGATGGGGAAGACATGGGTTTTAAGGTTTATTTTTTTATTTTTTATTTTTTATTTTATACTTGTTTTTAAATAATTATTTTTAAATTTATAAAAAATTATTTATTTTTGACACGTGGCACAAATGTAGCATCCACGTGACATAAATGTGGCAGCCATGTAAGCTTTTAACGGAACAATGGATGGAAAAGCTAACGGAAGTATTATTTTGAAATAAAATAGTACGTGAGGTATGAAAGTAAAATGTTTTAAAGATGTTGTATGAGATTGTAATAGACCTCAAACATGAGAAGGTACTATGTAATTTACCCTTTATTAAATACATTTATTATTCATTTCCATCTACATGAATAAATACATTTAAAACATGTAAATTGTGCGTAGCACGCTGTGATTCAAAAAATGTCTTCTGCATGCGCTTTGCATATAAATACATTTAAAATATCTAAGTCGAGCGTAGCGTGCCATGATTCAAAAAATACCTTTTGCACGTGGTTGTTTATTAAATATTATTTCTCAACTTTTAAACACTTAAGATGTGCGTAGTGCTAGTTATAAAAAAGTATATCACACGCGCATAATAATGTGATTCAATTAATTGTCAAATGATCATTTTTTTTAACAAACGATTTTATCTACATTAAAGGGAGGGAGTGAATTTAACCTCATAATAAACTAACAATTAGTAAATCGTATGTAGCACATTGTGATTCAAAAAATATATTTTACACGTATATGAGCACGTCCATGAAGGCTAGTAACTTACAAGAAACAAGAAAGGGGTGACTTTTCTTTTTTAGTGTCGATATTTATTAAAAGTTTGGGCATCCAAAAAGACATGAGAGTGTGTGATGACTTTGCTTTCCATCTTCTCCTCCTTTTGCGTCACCATTCCGTCTTCTCATCGGCTTTTCTCTGTTTGTGATCTCTTTGTTTTCTTTTTTTCATTTGTTTTTCTTATCGACTAAAGTAGTGTACCTAAGGACGACTCTATGACATATACATGTCAAAGAGATTTTTTATTTCTACTTTATAGGATTTGGTCAGTTTTAGAGCTTGTTTAGAATTGTTTGTAAAACGAATAAAAATATTTTTGATAAAAATATTTTTAAAATCAATTCTTAGTAAAAATTTAAGTAGATCTGGAAAAACAATTTAAGTGCTTCTTACAAGAAGTATATATTTGGCGTTTCTTCCAAAAAACTTTAAAGTACTTTTGGGACTCAAAATTAATTTAACAAAAAGCGTTTTCAATCATTCTAAAAACACTACTCTTAATAACGATGAAGGACACTTAAAATGCTTCTCCATGATTAATTTGCATTTTTTTCTTCTGAGGATTGGTTTCAAAATAATTTTCTCCAAAAGTGTTTGTAGTCAGTTAAAATAATAATAAATAATTTTTTTTTCCTTAACATTTAAACAAAAGAAAAATCTTGTTTGTTACGTTACACACTACAACTAAAAGGTCCTTTAGTAACTACAACTAAAATTGTCCAATTATAATTTTGACCATGAGTAAAGAAAATGAGAGAATACCGGGTTTTAATCACGATTTTACATTTAATAAAAAATCGAAATTAGCAAAAATTCTTGCTCCCGTTTGATTTGGGTTTAGGTATAAATAATAGATAGTCAATTAACAAGAGGCGTAAGTATTTAGATATGAATAACAGACATCCAATATAGTATCCTTTCCATTTTAAATTCTAATCACCAGTGAGCGAAAAGGTCAAAGTTACTATTTCAACACTTTTCCACTGCTTGAACAAAAGTTAATTTTGGTATTAACTGTAGATTAATACCATCTTTTCATAGTAAAAAAAATTGAAAACAAGAAAAAATAAAAAATAAAACATGGTTGGCCTCTCATCTTTTGTGCACCAGACGTGCAATTCATGATTCATTGGCTTTCGAGTATGGTTGGTAACCTCATCTATAAATTGTCATCTTATAATATAAAAAAGATAGAAATAAAATTACCATTATTTAAAGTCACAACGTCTGTTCTAACAAAAATAAAGTTTACAAGTTTTAATGCTGTTTTAGAAGTATTTTTAAAATAGTTGAAAGTGTTTTAGTAAAAATATTTTTAAAACCAATACTTTATAAACATACAAGTAAATTATATAAAAGCATTTGAAGTGTTTCTTGCAAGAAGTCCACATAATTGATTTTTTTTGCAGGAAACACTTCGAGTGTTTTTGTGATCCCAAAACATGTTTAAAAACACTTTCAGCAATTTAAAAGCATATCCAAACCGGGCGTTTAGTATTTAAAGTTGCAATTTTACAAGTGCTTCGAACTATGATGTGGGTCGGTTTTGTGTAAAAGTTCAAAGATTTTTTAAGTAAATCGATATCGATATTTTTATACTAAAGGGGGGGGATTTTGGCTAAACCACATAATAGGCAGCCTAATTTGGTATCAAATTTGTCATGTACGAGATTCGATTCTAAAATATTTCACTTTTAAGTAAAAGAAAATACTGCCAGATCGTAATACTGAGTAGCTGATGACGCATGCAGGTCTAGAAGGCTGTGACTGTTTTTTAAGGGGTTTTTTAAATATTTAACATAATAAAGAGAGAAAGTAGAAATGGCTGTGACTGTTACTGACTGCCACTCTTTGCTCTCTCTTTTGCGGTTCATCTTCTCTGTCCCTGCCTGCGTGTTTGGTGGCCATAAGGAGGGTCCTTCTCATTTGCGGTTCCCTATCGTATTTCTTATCCGAGTCAAGTTCTTGCAACTGGGTATATTGCTTTATTTCTCTGAAAATTCTCACTTTTTGTTCTATCTTTCAAGGTTCATTTCTCTCTTTTGAGGCCAACAAAGTTCTTTTTTTTTTTAAGGCAAGAGAAAAAGGTTGGTTTTTTCTTGTGCGTTTTCAATGGCGCCTGATCTCTGACTGTTTTTTGCAGAGATATAAGGTAAAGAGTAGGCAGTTTTGGAGAGGAAGGGAAAGATGGGGGAGAAACCTGAAGTATTGGATGCTGTGTTGAAGGAAACTGTTGATTTGGTATATAGATCTGAGAAATTTGAAGCCTTTTTTGGTTTGTTTATCTGGGTTTTTGGTTTTGTTTACTGGGTTTTTACCTTTCATACGAACTCTGTGAGTGCAGGAAAATATACCCATTGAAGAGGTATTTGAGAATCTGAGATGTAGCAAAGAGGGTCTCAGCAGTGAAGCTGCTGAGGAAAGACTCACCATTTTTGGACACAACAAGCTTGAAGAAAAGCAGGTTTGTTTTTCATGCTTACAGCCCTTTTTTCTTATTATTTTGTATTTTTGAAGCTCACCCTTCTATGCTCACACAATTCCATGTTCTGGGTCTGTTTCAAACTTTCAGGAGAGCAAATTTTTGAAGTTTTTGGGTTTTATGTGGAATCCTCTCTCATGGGTTATGGAAGCTGCTGCCATAATGGCCATTGCTCTTGCAAATGGAGGGGTAACCGCTTGGCTCTTTCGGTCGCTGTTGTTATTTCTTTGACGCTGCTTGTGCTTTTGTGTTCTTATCTTTTAGTTGATTTGTACCATGATTTTCTGTGTGCAGGGTAAGCCACCGGATTGGCAAGATTTTGTGGGTATTATGACTCTGCTCGTCATCAATTCCACTATCAGTTTCATTGAGGAAAACAATGCCGGTAATGCTGCAGCAGCACTCATGGCTCGTTTGGCTCCCAAAGCCAAGGTATCAGATTGGAAACTTGTTGTCTTTAGTTTTTATTAAGGTTGTAGGAGTACTTTTTATCTTATGGAATTGAGTAATCCGTAAATTTCACCTTAGTACAGTGTCTATTCTGGATGCAGTGCAATCTTATGTGATCGTGTGCGCACAACTATTAGTTTTCTATTGTGATATATGTTTCAATTTCTTTGCTGGTTTCATTTCTAACAAAAAGAAATGTTTGAAAGGTCCTTCGAGATGGAAGGTGGAATGAACAAGATGCTTCGGTTCTAGTTCCTGGTGATATAATTAGTATTAAGCTTGGTGACATTGTTCCAGCTGATGCTCGTCTACTTGAAGGGGATCCTTTGAAAATTGACCAGGTTTGATCTGCAATTATAGCTGTCTTGTTTATCATGTTGAAGTTGGCAATAATATGTAATGGCGAGTCTTGGAAAAATTTGGCTGTTTCTGAAGTTTCCAATTTGGGCTTGCAGTCTGCACTTACAGGTGAATCCCTTGCCGTGACGAAAAGCCCTGGGGATGGTGTGTATTCTGGTTCTACTTGCAAACAAGGAGAGATTGATGCAGTGGTCATTGCCACCGGTGTCCATACCTTCTTTGGAAAAGCTGCTCACCTTGTTGATAGCACAAATCAAGTGGGCCATTTCCAAAAGGCAGGGAGACTAGTTTTTTTTGGCTTTCTTTTATTTTGGGCTTTGTGGGCTGTGACTTTATTGATTCTGATTTCATTTCATTTTTTTAGGTCTTGACTGCAATTGGGAATTTCTGCATATGTTCCATTGCTGTGGGGATGGTAATAGAGATAATTGTCATGTACCCGATTCAAGACCGAAAATATCGTCCTGGAATTGATAACCTTCTTGTGCTTCTCATTGGTGGAATTCCAATTGCCATGCCGACAGTTCTGTCTGTGACAATGGCTATTGGGTCTCATAGATTATCACAGCAGGTTGGCTTGATTCCTTGTAATGCTACAGCACTATGTGGTATAAGGTGTTTTGGAATGTGATTAGTTTTGTTAATAATGATTGCAGGGAGCTATTACAAAGAGAATGACAGCAATTGAAGAGATGGCAGGCATGGATGTTCTTTGCAGTGATAAGACTGGAACTCTGACATTGAATAAGCTTACTGTTGACAAAAATCTTATCGAGGTTGCTTATTTGTTATAAAATATTTTTTTTCCTCTATGAAAAAATCCTTGTTTAAATGCGTGATTGACCTTTAACTTGTAGGTTTTTGCAAAAGGAGTGGATCCAGATACTGTTGTGTTGATGGCAGCTCGAGCCTCCAGACTGGAGAATCAAGATGCAATAGATACTGCTATAGTTGGGATGCTTGCTGATCCTAAGGAGGTGATCTCATTTTTATATTGGATTATGCCCGTTTCCAAACATAGCTCTGAAGTTCTTTAGGCGTGTTTTACTACATATTTTGAAGTTGAGTAGTTTCTGAAATATATTTGTCATACACGAGTTATTATCTTTTAAAAATCCCATTTCTTTTGATTTTTGTGAAAAGGCACGTGCTGGAATTCAAGAAATACACTTCCTTCCTTTCAATCCTACTGATAAAAGAACTGCATTGACTTATCTAGATAGTGATGGTAAAATGCATAGAGTTAGCAAAGGTGCACCAGAGCAGGTAAATTGCCTTCCACTTTATGTCGTTGTCCTCCCTTTGTTTTCAAGATTAAATACTAATTCCCAGATGCTTTTTTTTTAGATTTTGAATCTTGCACGCAATAAGTCAGACATCGAGCGCCGAGTTCATGCTGTTATTGATAAGTTTGCTGAGCGAGGTTTACGATCTCTTGCTGTAGCATACCAGGTAACTGAATCTCTAATCTTTATCTTGGGCTTATGTTGTAGTTTAAAATTTTATTCTTATTTAAAGTCATTTCATTTGTTTTATGCAGGAAGTTCCAGAAGGAAGGAAGGAGAGTGCTGGAGCCCCGTGGCAATTTGTTGGTGTAATGCCACTCTTTGACCCACCTAGACATGACAGTGCAGAGACAATAAGGAGGGCGTTAAATCTTGGAGTGAATGTGAAGATGATTACTGGTATGTTTCTTTATAGTAGGTTAAATTAGTATTGTTTCTTCTCGTTGGATATTTGAAGAAGCATTAATAAATCTTTGCTGAATCTTTGACAAATCATGAGCAATCCAAGTGGTTGTTTTCACTTTTCAGTTAACATACTTTGGTCCTGATTTAGTTATGCCTTGATATTCTGCGTAATGTTGGACCATCCTTGGGGTGATATGTCATGGATGCTGCAGCATGTCCACACTTTACTTGATATGTGGTTATGGTGAAGCTGGTGTATTAACGGGTTAATGTGTTTGTGTTGTTTTAAGAGACATAGGTGTTGAAAGAAATGGGTAGAAGTTTGTTCTGTTATTTTTCATTAATAATGTTATTAATTGGAGTCTCTAATACTGCAAGTACGTAATTAGTTGTGTTTCCTGCCACCCTACCTCTGAGTTCAATAGTAAAAGTGATGATATTTAGTTCTTTGTTTATGTTGCCGTCTTGCTCAAAGTTGTATTTTGTCAGGGGATCAACTGGCGATTGGAAAGGAAACTGGACGTCGCTTGGGGATGGGAACCAATATGTACCCTTCATCTGCTTTGCTAGGACAGGACAAGGATGAGTCGATTATTGCTTTACCGATTGACGAGCTGATAGAAAAAGCTGATGGCTTTGCTGGGGTTTTCCCAGGTATGCTCTTCCCTCCCCATTGTTGGGGAAATCTCACACACGTACCATAGCATATGCTTGAGAAAAGGTTTTCAGATTTTACTATTGGCTGCTAGAACATGGTTTCAATTATCCAACTTAGAGTGACCGGGTTAATTTTGTTTTGGTACAGAGCACAAATACGAGATTGTGAAACGCTTGCAAGCTAGGAAACATATCTGTGGAATGACTGGTGATGGAGTCAATGATGCTCCTGCCCTCAAAAAAGCTGATATTGGTATAGCTGTTGCTGATGCAACAGATGCTGCTCGCAGTGCTTCTGATATTGTGCTTACTGAACCTGGCCTTAGTGTCATCATTAGTGCTGTTTTGACCAGTCGGGCAATCTTCCAGAGGATGAAAAATTACACAGTAAGCTTCTAAAGTGGCATATTATTCTTGTGATAAAGAGTCATTGTCCACCTCAGCAGTGAACTAAGTAACAAATTCTTGTTTATGGTTGGCAGATATATGCTGTTTCCATCACAATTCGTATTGTGGTAAGTTAATGGTTCTTTGTTTTGAATCGTTTGATTCATGTAGATGGCATCTTTCATAAAATTTTGAATTAAATTTCTTTTAGAGCATTCAATAGTATGGCCTGACTTTTCTGATTCTTTTTCATGACAGCTTGGTTTCATGTTGCTGGCTCTCCTATGGAAGTTTGACTTTCCGCCTTTCATGGTGCTTATTATTGCGATCCTCAATGATGGTTTGTTCTTTCTTCTCCCTGTTCAAAATCTCTCTCTCTCTCTCTCCCCCTCTCCCTCTCTCCCTCTCTGTGTACACATTTGTATAATTTTTGTTTTAGTTGAGTCCTATTTTGTCTCTCGTTAGCACCATCTTTTATTGATAGTTGGTCAATGTTGTTGCTGAAAGCACATGCACTCTTCTGTAGCCGATAAGTGTTTTCTTCTGCAGAATTTACTAACAGAATGACCTTTTAGGTACGATCATGACAATATCAAAGGACAGAGTTAAACCGTCTCCTCTGCCAGATAGCTGGAAGCTGGCCGAGATTTTTGCAACTGGAATTGTGCTCGGAGGCTACTTGGCAATAATGACTGTGATATTCTTTTGGGCAGCATACAAAACAGACTTCTTCCCAGTAAGATTCTGTCTTGTTTGAGCATAAAATGCTCTGATTGTTGCTGATGTATCTCTTGTAGTCATAAAATGTGCATTCGTGGGGCTAATTTGCTTATTCTGCTGCTACTTGCCATCTCTTGTTAGTGGTTAATTAATATCCAGCCACTAATTGTTTCAGAGAACATTTGGGGTATCAACCCTTGAGAAAACAGCTAATGATGACTTTCGGAAGCTTGCCTCTGCTATATATCTACAAGTGAGCATTATTAGCCAGGCCCTCATATTTGTTACACGGTCTCGAAGTTGGTCGTTTATTGAGCGACCTGGATTGTTGCTTATGGTGGCTTTTATAATAGCTCAGCTGGTGAGCCACTTTTCCCAATCTTCTCGTTTTATTTCCATTTTGATTGATTTTGAGGGGAAACTGAATTTCTTACCTTCTATTTTGAGCAGATAGCCACCTTGATTGCAGTCTATGCAAATTGGAGTTTTGCTGCCATTGAGGGGATCGGTTGGGGTTGGGCCGGGGTGATATGGCTTTATAATATCGTCACATATATCCCTCTGGATATCATAAAATTCATGATACGTTATGCTCTGAGCGGGAAGGCGTGGGATCTACTGATTGAACAGAGGGTACGTTATTGACACTGGATTGCTTACCCAGTATTACTTGATCAGGGAGTTTCTTGTTAAACTGTTTATTGAGGGGTTCTTTGTTTTTTGTTTTTTGTTTTCTAGGTTGCTTTCACAAGGCAAAAGGACTTTGGAAAGGAACAACGTGAGCTTCAATGGGCACACGCACAAAGGACATTGCACGGGTTGCAGCCACCGGACACCAAGATGTTTACAGAACGAACACATTTCACAGAACTCAATCAGATCGCCGAAGAGGCCAAAAGAAGAGCTGAGATTGCAAGGTGAGCCGCAAACTTTCTTTTCAGCTTGAGATTTTAGTCTCTTCATGTTGCGTTGGTTCTCTAACCGAGACTCCTGCCTACTTGTAGGTTGAGGGAACTCACTACACTGAAGGGTCACGTAGAATCCGTGGTGAGATTGAAGGGGCTCGACATCGACACAATTCAGCAATCATACACAGTTTAAGACAGATAGAATGTATTTACCTATTTATATACTGTATAAGATGATTGTGTGCTGAGAGTAAAGACGTGTACTCGGCATGTTGTGAGTAACCTCGTAGTAGACAGTCGTTTTAAATTTGCTACTCTGCTTTTCGGTTTTTGGCATGTAAAATGAGTGCTGCAGTCAGCTGTTTTCTTCCCTTTTCTTCACTCTAACCCTCTTCCTTGTGATTAAGAGAGGACGGAAATAAACTTTTCTCCATTGATCAGAACCGTTCATTCGATGTTTCGGTAGCCCCACAAGTTACCTAGCTTTGTGGTTTGTCCTACCCAGGTTTTATGATTAGGTTAACACAAATCGGTCTCTTGAAATGCATCAAGAGCTTGTTTACTTACCTGGAATAAGGAAAAGTCAATAACAACAACAACAACAACAAAGCCTTTTCCCACTAAGTGGGGTCGGCTATATGAATCCTAGAACGCCATTGCGTTCGGTTTTGTGTCATGTCCTCCGTTAGATCCAAGTACTCTAAGTCTTTTCTTAGGGTCTCTTCCAAAGTTTTCCTAGGTCTTCCTCTACCCCTTCGGCCCTGAACCTCTGTTCCGTAGTCACATCTTCGAACCGGAGCGTCAGTAGGCCTTCTTTGCACATATCCAAACCACCGTAACCGATTTTCTCTCATCTTTCCTTCAACTTCGGCTACTCCTACTTTACCTCGGTTATCCTCATTCACAATCTTCTCCTTTCTCGTGTGCCCACACATCCCACGAAGTATCCCACGAAGCATCCTTATCTCCGCTACACCCATTTTGTGTACGTGTTGATGCTTCACCGCCCAACATTTTGTGCCATACAACATCGCTGGCCTTATTGCCGTCCTATAAAATTTTCCCTTGAGCTTCAGTGACCTACGACGATCACACAACATGCCGGATGCACTCTTACACTTCATCCATCCAGCTTGTATTCTATGGTTGAGATCTCCATCTAATTCTCCGTTCTCTTGCAAGATAGATCATAGGTAGCGAAAACGGTCGCTTTTTGTGATCGTCGCTAGATTGCTCCGGTCATTAGTGTGGATAAGTATATAAATGGATAGAGATAGGAAAGCAAACACCAGATGTACGTGGTTCACCCATATTGGCTACGTCCACGAAATAGAGGAGTTCTCATTAATTGTGAAGGGTTTACACAAGTACATAGGTTCAAGCTCTCTTTTAGTGAATACAAGTGAATGATTTAGTACAAATGACATTAGGAAATATTGTGGGAGAATGATCTCGTAATCACGAAACTTCTAAGTTCCGGAGTGTGGTATCGTCTTGACTTGCCTTATCTGTCTCGTAGGTAGATGTGGCATCTTCTCTGGAAGTACTCTTCCTCCATCCAGGGGTGGTATCTTTAACTGGTGGAGATGCACAAGGTAATGTATCAATTTCACTTGAAGCTTACTTGTAGTTTCAGGCTTGGTCAAGCGCGATACAAACCATGTAGTAGGAGTCCTCCAAGTCGCCGAGTTAGGGGATCTGCTGAAAGAGGTGACAAACAAGGTAAGCAATCAGAGCTCCAAGCAATCAGTCCCAGATCAGAACTTTGATTTCGAGTTCCGGCTGATTGTTCACATTCTCCCTATCTTGCAGGCAGCATGAAGGATAAAGAGAAGAAAAATGAGAAGAGATGATATGGGATACTTTTGCTTTTGAAGAAGTAACTTTCCACAGGCTTATTCTTGAACTGGGCTGGAGGGTTTTCTGGTTTCCTCCAGAGTATAAGGCCGACTGAAGAATTTGAGGGTCAAAACAAGTCCATCAAATCTATAGTATGTTCGACCCTGTTGATATGGGATACTTTTGCTTTTGACAGAGTAGTGGATGTATCGGCACGTGTGCTGTTACGCTTGTCTCCACATGCTTCCTTGTATCCTTCTCACTTGCCTTATATGTTCCTCAGGCAGATGCGGTATCTTCCCTGGAAGCATAAGATGTTGAAGATGAGTACTCGAGAGCAATGCAAGGTAAGTAATCAAGTAAGGGATTCCAGGCAGTCAGTTCCTGACTGGAAGCTTGATTCCAAGTGCTGACTGATTGCTCTCTTTCTCCTTGTCTTGTAGGTAAGAACAAGGCCAAAGGAAAAGACAGGGAAAAAACATGATATGAGATACTCTTGCTTTTAACCCTGATGATATGAGATATTCTTGCTCTAGTATAGCTTGTTTGCAGAGGTATTATCGGGGGGAAAGAAAGCTGAATATTTCGAAAGGCTTCTTTGGGAGTGCCCTCTCAGATATGAGGAATGGTTGAGCATTTTTGCAGGTCTGCCTGTCTGTTGGGGATGGAGGTCAACATATATAGGAGTCTCCCAAACAACAAGTAGTAATGCTATTCCTTTACCCTGCTTGGCATAACACGGTAGTGGGAGCTGCCAGCTTCACATGTTTTAACTTTGTCAGAGCACTTTGAAAAAGTGGTCTATGGTATCTGGAAAGCTGATGTTGCGTGTAAAGATTACAGACAAGCTTTATCCAAGGAGATCTGGCTCTTGAAGTTGGGAAAGTGGTGCCTCTTCGGTTTTCGAACAAGCAATCCTGTCGGAGATCTGGCTCTCGAGGTTCGAAGAACGATGCCTTTTCAATTTTTGAGAAAGCCATCCTGCTAGGGGTCTGGCTCTCGAGATTCGGAGAGCGGTGTCTGTTCGATTTTTGAGAAAGTAATCATGTTGGGAGTCTGGCTCTCGAGATTCGGAGGGCGGTGCCTTTTCGATTTTGGAGCAAGCAATCTTGTTGGGAGTGTTTTCTCGAATGTGAGAAAAGGTTGGGCATGTTTGCTAGTCTATCTTGCCACGAAGCACAGAGGTTGACACACAGGGACTTTCCAATTATCCAGCAGTGGTACTGTTCCTTTACCCTTGTGGGTAATAATATGGTAGCTAGACCTTCAAAATTTATGTGTCTAAACTTTGTTAGTGCTGTTTCTTTGCTATTCTTTTACCCTTCTTAGTTAGAGCGGTGTAGTGGGAGCTGCAAGCTTCACGTGTCTCAACTTTGTCAGAGAACTTTGGCAAAGTTATCTGTGGTACCCATGAGCTAATGTTGCGTGTAGGAAGTGGGTGATTGAACAGTAAGATTCATGTGCTTTCTACTTCACCAGAAATCTTCGACATAATGCCCATAATTTCCGCAAAGCTGACAGGTGCTGACAAGGCTAGAAAAGTAGGTGCCTCTTCGATTTCTGAGATCGGCCTTCGTGGTCTCTGAGCAGCCCAGCTTTTGAGAAAGCAAGCGCCTCTTCGATTTCTGAGATCGGCCTTCGTGGTCTTTGAGCAGCCCAACTTTTGAGAAAGCGAACGTCTCGTGGTCTCTGAGCAGCTCAGCTTTTGAGAAAGCAAACGCCTCTTCGATTTCTGAAGCTCCGTCGAATGCAGATTTTTATAGAGGCTGGCATTAAGTTCCAAAGCACACTTGAATCTCCACCAGTAGAAGCTCCATTCTTGCACTTCTAAGATCTTGATTTGTCCGACCTCTTCTCTCTTCAACACCTTTGAAAATGTCTGGCCCCTCCGACCGTCGTTTTGACTTGAACCTTGTTGAAGAGGCAGTCACGCCTTCTCTAGACAACATATGGCGCCCATCCTTCGTCTCCCCTACTGGTCCTCTTACTGTTGGGGATTCCGTGATGAAGAATGATATGACCGCTGCGGTAGTGGCTAGGAACCTTCTCACTCCCAAAGATAACAGACTACTTTCCAAACGGTCTGATGAGTTGGCTGTTAAGGATTCTCTGGCTCTCAGTGTTCAGTGTGCAGGTTCTGTGTCTAACATGGCCCAACGCCTATTTGCTCGAACCCGCCAAGTTGAATCATTGGCGGCTGAAGTGATGAGTCTCAAACAGGAGATTAGAGGGCTCAAGCATGAGAATAAACAGTTGCACCGGCTCGCACATGACTATACTACAAACATGAAGAGGAAGCTTGACCAGATGAAGGAATCTGATGGTCAGGTTTTACTTGATCATCAGAGATTTGTGGGTTTGTTCCAAATGCATTTATTGCCTTCGTCTTCTGGAGCTATACCGCGTAATGAAGCTCCAAATGATCAACCTCTGCTGCCTCCTCCTTCTAGGGTTCTGTCCAGTACTGAGGCTCCAAATGATCCCCCTCCCGTGCCTGCTCTTTCTGGGGCTCTACCGACTGCTGAGACTTCTCCTAAGCAACCTTTGTGAAGGCTCCCTCTTGTTTGTTTATTTTGACTCATGTATATGTACATATTTGTGACTTATCGGGGATATCAATAAATAGCTTTCCTTCATTTCAACGTATTGTGTTGAATACACCAAAGCCTTCTTCGCTAAGTTCTCTGAATTTTCTTTTGTTGAAGCTTGTATGTTGAAGCTTTGTGAGTGGAGCATGTAGGTTGAGGTAGTATTCCCTTAATTTCCCGAGTGAGGAAAACTTCTCGGTTGGAGACTTGGAAAATCCAAGTCACTGAGTGGGATCGGCTATATGAATCTTTGAACGCCATTGTGCTCGGTCCTGTGTCATGTCCTCCGTTAGATCCAAGTACTCTAAGTCTTTTCTTAGAGTCTCTTCCAAAGTTTTCCTAGGTCTTCCTCTACCCCTTCGGCCCTAAACCTCTGTCCCATAGTCGCATCTTCTAATCGGAGCGTCAGTAGGCCTTCTTTGCACATGTCCAAACCACCGTAACCGATTTTCTCTCATCTTTCCTTCAATTTCGGCTACTGCTACTTTACCCCGGATATCCTCATTTCTAATCTTATCCTTTCTTGTGTGCCCACACATCCAACGAAGCATCCTCATCTCCGCTACACCCATTTTGTGTACGTGTTGATGCTTCACCGCCCAACATTCTGTGCCATACAGCATCGCCGGCCTTATTGCCGTCCTATAAAATTTTCCCTTGAGCTTCAGTGGCATACGGCGGTCACACAACACGCCGGATGCACTCTTCCACTTCATCCATCCAGCTTGTATTCTATGGTTGAGATCTCCATCTAATTCTCCGTTCTTTTGCAAGATAGATCCCAGGTAACGAAAACGATCGCTCTTTGGTATTTCTTGATCTCCGATCCTCACCCCTAACTCGTTTTGGCCTCCATTTGCACTGAACTTGCACTCCATATATTCTGTCTTTGATCGGCTTAGGCGAAGACCTTTAGATTCCAACACTTCTCTCCAAAGGTTAAGCTTTGCATTTACCCCTTCCTGAGTTTCATCTATCAACACTATATCGTCTGCGAAAAAGCATACACCAAGGAATATCA